TATACAGGAAACAAGAAATGGAAAATTATTTGTTAATGATAACACATATGTTGATGTGCTTGATTGAGCCAATATACAGTGTATTCTAAATGGGAAATCTTATTTTTTATGCTGTAATGATGTATAATGAATGAATGTAAATAAATAAATTTAAATTAAAAAAAAGGGAAAAAAGTTGGGTTTTGTTTAGCATTAGAAAGTCTTATTAGAGGAAGATAACAACTTTTGCTAGAACTTTTCGCTCCATCCATTTATGTTTTTCTACTCCATGCATTGAACAGTGTGCACTTTGCAACTATGTGACCATGTTTTCAAACTCACAGATACTTTTAATAGTAAGTTTGGCTGATATATTCATGTTTGTGAACAAAAGTTGACTTTAGGCATGAAACTCTGTGGATAGAATGAATATACTATAAAATAGCACATAGCTAAGGCCATATAGCTTACTGTGGTTACCAAATAGATATTTTTTAAATACACTTTTTAATTTCAAGAAAAGCAGTTTTAGCTTTAATACATCAAAATAAAAAATGTTAAAAAAAACTTTGCTTAATACTTAAAACCAGGAAACAGGTTAGAATTCTGTTTCAATAGTAGGTACATGGACCTGTCCACAACCTGAGAAAAGACAAAACTACTTAACACTGGAAAAGAAAGCATAGAAGGTCAATAATCTTTTAGTCGAAAGTCATGAAATTCTGTTTCATCAGTTCAAGCTCATGTATTTTATCTTCTGTCAAGGTCTGATCTCTTCGTTTAATTTCAGAAGATAACATTTGTTTCTGTACTTGTCCTTACCATTAAGCTAGCTATTTTCTTAGCTGTTTGAAAACTCATTTTTGTGTGTCTGACTTTAGTTTTCCTGGGATAGCACTCCCTTCAGAACTTTTTGGAGAACTGGCCTGGTGTTGGTAGATTCTTTCAGGTTTTTCTGAGAATGTTCTTGTCTTCCCATATAAAGGATAATCTTTCTGGGTATATTATTCTTGGTTGAAATTGTTTTTCATTCAACAGTTTGAATATATTTTTCCATTCTTTCATTGCTCACATTGTTTCTGATGAAAGATCTGCTGTTAGCTTGATGAAATATCCTTCATAGGTAACATGACGTTTCTCTCTTGCCAGTCTGAGTATTTTGTTTTGTCTGTGCTTTTGGTCATTCAAGCTATAATGTGTTTTGGAGAAGATCTTTTTGAGTTGACCTTATGTGGGGACCTTTGTATTTATTGGGTCTGGATTTTTGAGTGCCTCTCTAGCTTAGGGAAGTTTTCTTCCAGTATTTCATGGTATAGATTGTCAATGCCCTTATTAGTCTCTTCACCTGCCAGGATACTGATTATCTGGATGTTTAGACCTTTAAAGGTATCTAGTATTTCTCATATATTATTCTCATTTTGGGGGCTATTTTTTCAGTCTTTGTGGTGGATTTTACTAGTCCAGGAATCATGTCTACTACATCTGAGATTCAATTTTCTGTATAATCTAGTCTGCTTTGACTACTTTCAAAGGAGGTTTTGACTTCATGTATTATAGCCTTCATCTCCAACAGTTTGATTTGACTCTTTTTTATGGTGTCTCTTCTTTCAGCTCTCATAAGAACTTCCTCACCTCCTCGGACTCATCTGCTTTTTCTCCTGGTGTTCATTGTCCCTCTTCTCTTCCACTTCTGTTAGTTTTGTCATTATGAATACTCTAAATTCTTTATCAGACATTTCCATTATTTCCATTTTACTGTCTGTGAGGAAGAGAAGTTATTCTTTTTCCTTGGAGTTGAGGTATTTTCTTGGTTTTGAATATTTCTTGTGACCCTGTAGAGATTTGTAGTCATCTGTTTCTAATTTCTAGAAGATAAATCTGAAGGATCAGAGGTGCACGGGAGGATGTGGTCTGCAAATTCTTTGGTGTTGCATTTTTCTCCCTCTGTGATGCAGATTCTGTGGGAGTTGAGGAATATGAGGGTCCAAATAGTATTCAAATTTTGGCAATTTTTCATGTAGACTTGTCCAGACATTCTGTAGATGAAAGCTAAGCAGCAAAGTGATGAAGTAGAAGAAAAAGGATAAGAAAACAGAGAAAGAAAGAAAAAGAAAAATGGATAAATCAAACAAAATAATTATTTATTTGTCAATTATAAAAAGCAAAAAATAAAAACCACGAGGTGCACAAGCACAAAATCACTAGATCTCAGCTCTAATGGCAGAATCAGTCTTCTTCTGACTGCCTTTTTTTGCCTAGATGGGAAGGAGAGAAGGGAGGGGATTATTACCAAGATAAAGAAGAACTTCAGAGCCAAGAAAAACTTTAACTTAAAATTTTTTTTAAAAAAAGAAAAATTACAAAAATATAAAAAGGCAGAAACAGAAAGGCAGAAAGAGACAGAACTCTACAAGGGTAGATCCTCAGCAGAACATCTTCATTACTCTTATCTGTGAAATCACTAGATCTCCATAAAGGCAGGTTTTAAAAATTTGGTTAAAAAAAATCATGATGTTTTGGGAACCAGCAGTTGGCGTAATGGCTATGTCGCTGGACTCCCACGTAGTCGACCGCGGTTCGTGTCCTGGACCCAGTGGCTTAAAACTCACGCCGGGCGCGTGTGCATGCGTGCCCAAGATCCCGAGAGGAGAATGGAGGAGAAGGGATTGCGGCGTGACCATCCCCCCTGGGGGGTGATTTCTCGCTTTCTGTCTCTCTGTCTCTCTCTGTCTGTCTGGCAAGTGCACGTGCCCTATAGCAAAAAAACTCTAAAAAAAAAAATTATGATGTTTTAATTAAACAAAAAAAAATGAGTTTAAAGGGTCTAATGCAAAACATGTGAATGCAATTAATTGCACTGTATTGTATATCCAAAAATTTTTGAGAGAATTTTTTGTGTTTTGACCACAAAAACGTAAGTCATGAAGTCAAACATATACTAAATGGCTCAATGTAGACATCTCCCAAAGTTTACGTCAATCAAAAAAAATCTACTCCTATATAATAAATTTATAAAAATAAAAATATAAAAATAAATGAATGAACAAAACAGGAAAATTTTAGCAACAGCTTTTTTCCATAAATATTGGTAGAAAAAGAAAAACGAGACAAGAGATAAAAGCTGGGTCATGAATAGAATTCTTTTTTTATTTATTACATATTAAAACATGTAATAATGAGTACTTGGTACCTGAATAGCTATAGACACAGCACAGAATAGCAGGTATAGGGACCAGCAGCTAGTGTAATGGCTGTGTTGGACTCCCATGTAGTCGATCACGGTTTGAGTTCTGGACCCGATGGCTTAAACTCACGCCAGGCGCGTGTGCGTGCATGCCCAAGATCCCGAGAGGAGAACAGGGAAGGGATTGTGGTGTGTCCATCCCCCGTGGGGGTGATTTCTCACTTTCTGTCTCTCTATCTCTGTCTGTCTGGTGAGCACATGTGCCATATAGCAAAAACCTCTCAAAAAAATTAGCAAGTTCTGGGATTTGTGGTTTATTTTGATAGAGGGTTAGAGTTTAAGGGTAATCTAATCTTGTTCCTACTTCTTTGTATATCATAAGGCTCATTTCTGCCAAGATGATATTGCAGACCTGAAAGCATTGCTGGGAAGATAAATGAAATATCTTCTGTGAACTGCTGAAGAAGCCATTGAAGACTGACATTATTCTTACCCCTTCCTGCAAAGGCATCATATGTTATTTTTTCTTTTTTTAAATTTTTTATAGAGATTTGTGTTATACAGTACAGAGATACAGAGAGACAGAAAGGGAGAAATCATACAACTGAGGGGATGGCCCTACCATTATCTCTTCTCTATTCTCCTCTCAGGATTTTGGGAATCAATGTACATATCTTTCAATCCACTGGGCATGGGACTTGAACTGCAGTCAACCACATGGGAGTTCCATGGAACCTTAACTACTACACCACTTACTGGCTTCATGGATTTTAACATCATTAAAAAAGGAAATTGAGAACTGTAGATGGTGTAGTGATTACACTGCTAAACTCCAACATGGCAGACCACAGTTCAAGTCTCAGATCTTGTGGACTGAAAAATCACACTGGGAGTGTGTGAGTACTCAAGTTCCCAGGAAGAGAATAGAGGAGAAGGAATAGTAGTGTAGCCATTCCTACCAGGAGGTAATTTTTTACTTTCCCTCTCACTGTCTCTTTGTCTCCAATAAGTACACCTCTGAAAAAATATCCAAATCTTAAGATCAGTCTTATGATACAAGTACTTTTGGCCTTTCTTGGTCACAAAATTACAAAGATTGTTGTCTCAGGATGGGGTGGTCTTCAGAGCCTTACTTGGTCATTATACAATTATAAATTCTGAGGGGGGAAAAACATTCCAAAATATGTTTTTCCAAATTGTTTTTCACCAAAATGGAGGGTGACAGGTGCAGAGTCCCAGGGCAGGGAGATTCTCAGAGTTCCTGGATGGGACTTAAGTGAAACATTAAAGAGACAGGGAAACTAGAGCTTCTTTGAGACTCAGATTAAGGGTGATTCTCAGACCCATGTCTCCTGTAGAAATGCCTTTTTTAATGCTTCTAGTTTTGTTCCTGTATGTCATGCCAGTCTGGCACACACTTTGTACAGGTTGAAGGTAGGCTGTGGAAGTAAGAATCTTCTGTGTCCTCCATGGCGTTGCTTCTCCCAAGAGGGAGCTGAGTCTGCAGACACAATTAAGTTCCATTTCCACAGCTCACACACATAGGGCTTTATATCTGTGATGAGCCAGCTCAGACATGTCATTACCTTTGATTAGTCTTTTGCTACTTCTTCAGCCTTTACCAATGGTGTGTGAGATGACATATATCAGCTGCCTTGAATACCTGAAGCCAAATGTCTACAAGGATGGGGACTTGGTACTGGGTGGGTTTTTCCCTCTTTATACCATGGTAGATGATGAAGCGATACTTCAAATACATTTTCCGATGAGGCCATCTCAAGTAGTGAAAGATTCCCGGTAAGTTGTTGGTCATACGTATGTGTAAATAAATGTATTTATAACTGTGTAATAATGTTTGCATATATATGTATGTGTGATTAATTCTACTTGCTAATAATTAAGTGTGCACAGAAATGAGAAAAGTGCAGAACTGTGGTCTCAGGATGTTCTGCCTTTTTATCCTTTTATTATCTTTCTTTTTGTTATTTTCAATGTTTCTCTATTTCTTTCAGGACAGAAGAGATAAATTAATATATTTTGGTGTCCACTCACAGCACTACCCCTATATTAAATCCTTGGGAGGCTCAGAATGACTGAGAATGTTAGAATCCCAGCCCTTATACAACCAAGACCCATATAGTCTTGGCCCACTTGCTTATTGAAGCACTGATCCCCTAAAGTGAAGTTACTGTTAGCATCAAGGGACTGACACTGCATGTTCAGTGCTGAGAGGGCATTGTAGAAATGGGCTTTGTAGAGAAGCCATGGGTATCTAAAGGCTACCACCACATATGAACCAGGGAGGAGGGCCACACTGCCACCCCTTATCCATTTTCTTTCAGGATTTTAGGCATGTGTGCACATGTACCCAGCATTATTTTCTAGCTGCCAGATCTGGGACTTGTACTGTGTTCAGCCATGTCAGAAACCAATTCCTAACCACCAGCAACCTGCTGATCCCTCCATGATATCTTTTAAAGCATAGTAAAAAAAGGCTTTCTTTAAACCCTCAAAATATATGTGGGAAATGTGGTCATGAGATTTTGTAGTAGTTCCGGAATAGTAGGTTCAAATATGAATATAACAAGAATGCTTGACACAGATATAGTTTGTTATCTGTTGAGCATGTGTACAATGTCCTCAACTGGACTGAAATGTTTATCATTCTGGGTAAACTCTCTACAATCTAAATGATTTATAGCAATTGAGTGTGTAAATAAAAATAATTTAAAAAATGTATACCCAAAGAGGAAGGTAGAAGTAAGTGAACAGAAAATTATTATTATGTGGATTATATATAAGCATGCAGGTAGGCCTGCAAGAACATTCAGAAGCCTGATGAAAGTTTTACAAAGCAGAAGTCAGCAGGTGGCATAGTGGTAAAGGCACTACACTCCTATGTGGTCAATGGCATTTGAGTCCTAGACCTGGCACCTTGAAACTCATACTGGGTGTCTAAACCGGTGTGCCCCAAGTTTTGAGAGGAGTAGGTTTTGCAGCATTACCATCCGCCTGAAGGTCACTTCTCATTTTCTATCTCTGTCTCTCTAGCAAGTGCATGCACACAACAAAAATCTCTCTTAAAAAAAAGTTTTATTAAGCAAAGAAACCTAGTCAGTAAAAAAATTATTTGAGCACAATGGAAAACATTTCAGCTAAAAAAAAAAAATTGGAAACTACTTAAAAGTATCACATAAATATTGAGTTAAAACATAACACAATTTTATTTTTATAGAAAGTAACAATAAAACATGACCCAGTAGGTGACATTGACAGGAGATATGGGGGTGATTATGCCCAGCACTCATGCTTTTTTTTTTCTTTCTTGGAGAGGTTTTTGCTATAGGGCGTGTGTGTTCACCAGACAGACTCAGAGAGACAGAGAGACAGAAAGTGAGAAATCACCCCCCAGGGGGAGTGGCCACGCCGCAATCCCTTCT